TTATGTGTGAATATTCGGTCCACTTCGAACTTCTGCTCCCCTGGATCTTTACGGTATACATGGTTGTCGCCAACTATTAGGTGTCTTCGCCATCTGGCTCTGCCACTGCAATTACCACACAGTGACTGGCGTATTACGTGTGTTAACATTAATATTACATTCATCTGATCATCTGTAACGTGTAACTGTTATTCTGTCTACTCGAAATGATTTTCCCATGACACACAGTTAGGGCAATTTATAGGAGGTGTTTCAATAGTGATATAAAAACTAAATGCAACCATGATCTCATAAAATCCTATTAGATGTGACGCCTGTGTTGGTAGTTGACCTGGCTGTATTCTAACGAGATGACCGAACCATTTGATCTTATAATTCTCAGTCAGTACATCTGACAGTATCACTCCACTCTTTGTCTCAGACGTTTAAGATGGCCTCGTTAAGTGGAAATCTTATTTTACAAATGTTGCTTTTCTGTTGGTTAGCCTTTGATATGTCCAAGATGTGCACTGGTCGCACAGTGTTGGTGTGAGTATGCCTCGTATTATCTTTTGCTTGACGGTCTCACTGATGTTTGGATATCTTGATAACGGTGTCATTGCACTGGCTCTGTGGCTTTTCGTTTCTATTTCCGAGGCTACTATGTCGTCAATCAAGTATGATATTTCTGTACATTAAAATTATTGAACTTGCTTAAAACCTATTAGTAGCGGACTGGAACATGTACTGTTCTGCACTACTTTACTTTTGGTCATAGTAATATATTTGTGGTGTAGGGGCTAGAAGCTCATTTACGGATAGGAAAGTCGTGGGTTCAGCTCTTGACGGAGCCAGTTGGTAAAAAATTACATTAACTCCTAGGTTAATCCAACCTTAAGCTGGTACCAGGTGCAGTCCTGGAAGTAAATGCAGCCGGTGTTATGCTGACCACATCACCAACCAAGTGCTGATTAGTCTATAAAATATCGGTCTAGCCCTATATGCCGAAAACGCCTGAAGGCTTTAGAAAAGAGTCCTGAATTAATATATTCTTCTTCTTCTGCCTTTCTATCCTCCAATGGAGCAGACGCCCTCAACCAACACACGCCAAGTCGTTCTATCCTTCGCCATTGCATGGAGCTCTCCCCATGTCCTCCCAATCTTTCTAACCTCATTCTCCAGCTCTCTTCTCCATGTGTTTTTGGCCTTCCTTTATTCCTATGCCCCTGTGGGTTCCAATGCAAAGACATTCTAGTTATGCTGTTCGTCTGTTTGCTCAGTGTGTGCCCTATCCAACGCCAGCGTCTTTTCCTCACCTCCTGATCCACTGGAGCCTGTTTAGTTCTCTCCCAAAGTTCTGCATTAGTTATTCTATCATACCATTTTATTCCCTCTATTCTACGCAGGCACCAGTTAATGAATGACTGTAATTTATTAGTAATTGCCTTGGTTGTTCTCCATGTTTCCGCCCCATACAATAGTACTGATTTGTTATTAGAATTAACATTTTTTAGTTTAGTATTTCTTTTAATTTCTTTTGACCTCCACAAATTCCCTAGTGCCATGAAAGCCCCTCTTGCCTTTTGTATTCTTATTTTAATATCTCTATCAGTTCCTCCATCTTTATCTACACTACTGCCCAAATAGGTGTACGACTCCACGTCTTGGAGTGGGGTGCCATTAAGAGAAACCACATTACTATTTGCCTGATTTATTCTTATTATCTTTGTCTTTCCTTTATGGATTTTCAGACCAAGCTGCTGTGATCTCGTATTAAGTATATTTAATTTATCTTGCATCTGATTCCGTGAATTGGACAGAAGAGCAATATCATCAGCGAAGTCCAGATCATCAAGCTGTTTTGTAGGGTCCACTGAATTCCATTCTTGATGTTAGCAGTTACTGTTTTCATAGTCCAGTCTATAGCCAGTAAAAATAAGAGAGGCGACAAAAGACATCCCTGTCTCGCACCTGTTTTTATTTGAAATGCATCTGTTAGCTTTCCCTCATTAAGAACTCGACATTTCATGTCTTTATATGTTCCCTTTACTAAGTTGATAATTTTCTGTGGGATTCCATAGTGCCCCATCAATTTCCAGAGAGATTCCCTATCAATGCTGTCTAATGCTTTTTCGAAGTCTATAAATCCAATGTAAAGTGGTGAGTTCTGTTCAATGCTTTGCTCTATTATAATACGTAATGTGGATATCTGGTCAGTACAGGATCTGTTTGACCGAAAACCTGCCTGCTCATCTCTTAGCATTTTATCAATAGTATCTTTTAATCTTTCCAAAATAATTCCTACTTAATATTTTTCCAGGAACTGTCAGCAACATAATTCCTCTATAGTTTTCACACTCCTGAAGATCTCCTTTTTTTGGGCAATTTCACAAGATATCCTTCTCTCCAGTCTGCTGGTATTTCTTCGGTCTCCCAGACTTTACTGAATAATCTATACAGCAATTAAAATATTACATACATTTAAACATCAAATGGGTTCATCTGGGGAAAAAAAAGCAGCTAGAGCCTACTAAACGACAACAGCAGGCTTGAAGGCGTGTGGTCGACCAAGAAAGAAACGCGTCGAGGGACTAAAAGAAACAATAGAGATTCCCAAACTAACCACCAGCTGCACAACTAGCAAAAGACAGGAAACATGCATATCCAGTTCCTCTCTACGACGCTTTGCTGCATAAACTTAGTACAAGTAAAGAAGAAAATAACGTATTACTTCTTGAGTTATTATATTATTATCCAGTTAAAGTGTTTTACGAGACGATCTAGTCAGTTTAAAGTTTCAATTAGTTATATTTGAAGACGTGCTCAAGTTATTTTGTATATTGTCAACACTAAATGCTGATTTTAACCTTTTTAGTACTAGAAAAAGGTTATGAAGATATATTCGTGATTTAAATGTGTCAGTGCATTTTATGTCTCAGAA